CCCGCTTCACGTGTATCCAGCTGTTTCGTAAAAGGAGCGGGGAATTCGAAACTGGACTATTCATTCCAAATCAGTATTGTCTCTACTTGCATGAACTTGCAATGAAATAACTGGAACGTGAAAAATATGTTCCGCATCCTCTTTGTGTAAAATGGCTACTGAATTACAAACGTTTTTTAACCACCCGAAAGTAACAGCTCCCCTGAAAGTAGTAGCCCCTTTGGCCTGCTAAATCCGAAAGTAACAGGGGCTGTTACAGTCGGAATTCTACGGTATGACATACTGTAAGACGTGACGTATGATATGACGTAATACATGACGTATGATATGATTGATGTAAGACGTGACATGATATGACGTAAGACGTGACATATGATATGACGTAAGACGTGACGTATTCATGATATGACATAATACATGACTTATGATATGTAAGACATGACGTATGATATGACGTAAGACGTGAAGAATATGATGTACGACGTGACATATGATATGACGCATGTGACGTGACGTTAAATGAAACATGGATGTGAGTGGATAGCTATAGATAGCTTACCCAGGACAGTTGAGATGGACTGAATAACCCCGAAACTGACTGGTGTAACAGAACCAGAAACTGTGCCTACAGAGTAACAGCTGCATCAATATTCTCCTTATTCAATTCATACTATTACTGCAGTTATTCTTGGGAGAATCTACTTTTTAATCAGCATTTTTTTCCTGAGGTAATCAGATGAGTCATTCTCATGATTAAGGCATAGTAAAGTTATGAGAGTTTAGAAATTCATCACATCTAAAGACCAAGCAAAGCACATCAGGCGAGAATGAGGATGAAATGCATGAAATGATAAAGCCGCACTCGAGCCAAACTGGCCCACACTGCTGGAGCTTATCCCAGTTTCCATAGCATGAAGCAGACTAGGAGTATTGCTACTCCCCATGGATGGGATGCTAGTCCATCACAGGTTACCCCCCAGCATGTGTCGCCGGTACCCATTTATACTCCTAGGTGGAGACAGGGACTATGAGAGTTAAGTGTCTTGCCCAAGAACATAACACAATTATTTTTGCAGCACTTAACAATATTTTAACATGAATTTAGAGATTTTCAGGACCTGCCAAAAAAATCACTCGTTTTCAAAGTCCTGGAAAATGACAGAACAAAATTGCAGGACTTTCCAGGATTTCAAGGACCTGTTCAAGCCCTGTAGGCTTAATAAAGAACATTAAGACTGTTGAACTCACGTTCATAGGCGCGTTGTGGTCTGTAATCCGTACACAACACTTTGAGTAGCTTTGTTGCTTCATCAGGAACTGCATTCACCAGACTCTTGCCATATTTTTTCATGTTTCCTTCGGCCTTGAACGAAATAAAAAGCCCCGTAAGTGGAGTGTCAATTAAAGTATTGTATTATTGTAGAAAAGCATAGAGCTTAGTTATATTCCAACGTTTTAGTGTAAGGCTTTGTGTTTCTTTGTTTGTGGACACATTTTGTGCATCCAGTCAGGGGGGATGAGTACTAGTTGAGAAATCCCATCTCTAAGACGGGACTGAGCACACAAATTTCATCCTGAAGTTGCTAAGCAACATGACATATTTTCATTGCGCTAATGCTGGTGTGAGAATTTTCGGAGTACTCGTGAGTGTTCGCGCTGTTTCTTGATTGGATAATAAGAAACGGAAACTCTTCAAGTGCTCCAACGAAGATTTGCCAACTGCATCATGTATTAACCAATCAGAGTGAAGCTGCTGTCTTCTCAGCCAATCAGGTGAAAAAGCCAATAAAAATTGTGACTTGTTTTACGCGACTTTTCCCGCGCTTTTCACGGGTTGTATGCTTCTCCTTCAAGTTGTGATTGATCATTATCAGCTCTATTTAAAAAGTACCAACCATTTTTTGAGGAGAGAGGAACAGCTTATAAGGGAGGTGAGACAAACAGCTGAAAAAATTAGAGAGGAGGGAGAAACGGCCGAAAAAATTACAGAGGAGAGAGAAACAGCTGAAAAACTAGGGAGAGAGAAACAACGTAATGGGATGAGCTTGACTGAGGGAGAAATAGCGAAAAAATTAGGGAAAAGGGAGAAAACTGAGTTATTTAACTGTCTGTTGCTGTCCCTTCTTTTTTATTTGGAATTATGTGAAATAAATTATGTGAACACGAAAAAAAAAAAAAAAGAAGAAAAAAAAAGTCGCTTCTTTTTTGTAGTTTTCCTTCCACTACACAAACACCTGTACCTCATAAAACTCTAGTTTTCCAATGTAGGACAAAGCTCTCTGGTAATCCTTCAGATCTTCCAGTTGAATCTTCAAATATCTAACAAAAATGAATTATTTTGTTAATTTAAACGTTCATGAGATTGAACAATCAAGAAGAGCAAAGGGCGCCATTTTGTCGCGTAGACAAACACATCAGAAATTACAGTGTTACAATACACACAAATTTCTCCTGCCATCGCGCTGAAACACAGTGAGCTTCGATCAAGCATCGGTGAACTACGCCTACCAAGAATACCTTTCGGTATTGTCGCATACGTTTTTATGCTTCTGTAAGACAACCTTTTTCAAAACAGCTTAGCCTGTGTGGCAGGCGTTGAGTAAAATAGAACGCGAGTTGGAGGCCAGGGGCGCACGCGCCTAAAAACTCACACTCTATTTTACTCAGCTAAAAAACAGCTGTATAGTCTTTGGTAGAAACATCGTTACCGTAGCGAAAGTAAAAAAAAAGTAAACATGATCATCCCGTGTATAGTACTTACAAGTCATGTTGGTCATATTTCTCTGCTAAATACACTGCATGCTTGAAATACCCAGCCTGGCGACACACCTGCAATATAAGATCAAGGTTTAACTTGCGAGTTTCTATAGCAAGAGTATTGCTACTCCCCTGGATGGGATGCAAGTCCATCACAGGTTACTCTCCCCACCCCCCCCACCCACCCCCCCCCCCCCCCCCCACCCCCCACCCCCCGGCATTTTGTAAGGTTTCCCTCAACTGAAAATTCGCTGGTACCCATTTATACTCCTGGGTGGCGAGACGAACTGTGAGAGTAAAGTGTCTTGCCCAAGAACAAAAACATAATAACCCCAGGCCAGGGCTAGAACCCAGACCACTTGGTCCAGAGTCCAACGCGCTAACCATTAGGCCCTCAACAATACATGTAAACTTGTAGGTAGCTGTAATTCTCAACAATAAAACATTACATTTTCAACTAAATTTTTCCAGTCTAACTATGCAGAATATGAGAATTTCACAGGACTGAACACCTACCTTGATTGCAGTTTCAACATCAAAGTTTAATTCTCTATCGGTCTGTAAAAGAACGAAAAGAACAAAGATAAACACATTGTTACATAAAACACTGTAAGCTTTAACTATTCTCAAGAGTGATCAACAGCTAATATCTCCTTACAATATCAATACATTGTCAAGCAGACAGGCGATGAGAATATAGAAAATCATCAACTAGGAGATATTATCTTGATGTACAACCGAATTCTCAGAACTAACAATAATAGCAATGTATGGCGATCAGTAAGAAGAATTAATAATTTGATCTAGAAAGTAATACCATGATGAACTCGTCCAGCATAGAGACATCCTTGAGCTTAGTGTAACAGTTAAGGAGCAGAGTGGTGTGGTCTGTGTTGGCCAGTCCCTGCTTATGGAGAGCCTAACAAGAGATACAGCATGATAATTATAATCAACTTCACTACCTGGAATAATAGCCCTGCCTTAAAAATTGTGGGAGATGGCCGGTGGCCTAATGGTTAGCGTGTTAGACTTCAGATCAAGGGGTTTGGGTTCAAGCACTAGCCAGGGTGACTGTGTTGTGTTCTTGGGCAAGACATAAACTAACATCCAAAATTTCTTACTCAGATTCATGAAATTGTCAATATCATCTAAAAGCAAATCGTTGGTATCTAAAACGATTTTCCATCGTACAGAGGTGAACAAATTTTGTTAAGTGCTGAGAATCACAAAAATCAGTTTCTCCAAATTAAATCCAGAAAAAACAAAAAAAATCACCAAATTTATCCACAAAATAAATCTCCCGCAAAAATTTCATGCCACACAGTACGTACATGTATTTACAAACCTGAAGATAAGCTGTAAGGTTGTGAATTCTCTGAGCATCCAAGAACTAACAACAAAATAAAATAGATTTTCACTGGGGCTCTGGAGAATGACTAATGATGGCAAGGATGGAAATGGATTTATTTGTACCAACACATTTTGAAATCATGCATGCCTACTGTATGCTGCACACTACTGTCAACTCTCTTTTAGCAAACACCCTCGGGACATAGTTTGGGGTCTGTAATAGTGAGAATTCGCAATAGCGGGGTGTGAGAAAAAAGTGCTGTTAAATAATCAGAGTCAGGAAGGAAACTTAGGTGCAAGCAAAGTGAAAAAGCAAAATCCTGTACCAAGAAATCGATGCACAAAATTTAATAAACATTCTGGAAGTCTTTGGAGTGTGTTTATACAATTTGACACATGAATCTGGAAACAACAGACTACAGTTAATACATAAATATGTTATATGAGAAATTCAAGGTGTCCGCTTTATCGATAGTCAAAACAATAAAATTGTTATGTACTTGGTACCACGAAAGTGTCCGTAATTCCATAATAGTGAGGGTCCATAATAACGGGAGTAATTTTCAGTCAAACCATTCCAGTCTATAGCTTTCTCCAGGGGGCTGGATTTTGTCCGTAATAGCAGGTGTCCGCAAGGCAAGAGTTAACTAGTATATATTATAATGTAGTACCTTGCGAATGACGTAAGATGGTTCCAGGTGCCCAATGGTTTTAATGTACTGTTTTATGGCTCCATCGTGATCTCCTTTACTGAATAAAAAGTACAAAATGCTAATAACTCACTGGAAGCCAAATAATAAAATAATGCATAGTGTAATAATATACTCAATTAACAGATGAGAAAGATATTATTCTGTCAGTGACACAAGCGATTTGGAGAAAAAAAATCTGAGTTTCCCCAACAGGAGTCGAACCTACACATATGACCTTCTGCACACCAGTCGGACACACTACCACTGAGCTACAGGAGACTCGTGGGAGCTAAGGCCATATAACTAGGTTCAAGTGTGACAAACATCCCGCATACTGCTAGAATTAGATTTGCTGATGAGTGAGAATTTGTGGAAAGAAATGATGGTGTATTTTAAGCTTGGTAGAAATATGAGGAAGATATTATTCATAGGTTCGACTCCTGTTGGGGGAACTCGGAATTTTTTTCCCCGAGTAGTTTGTGTCACTGACAGAATAATATCTTTCTCATATTTCAACCAACCATCATTTCTTTCTACTCAACAGATTTCATCATACCTGTACAAGTGATCTCCATATTGTGTAAAGATGTCAATCAGTCCATCGGAATAATGCTGACTTTTTGCCAAACTTGAAAAGAAAGAAACGAAAGGAGAAAACAGGTACTGACATAAACTTGCAAACTACAGTCGAAGCTCTCATTGCGACCACTCTCGTAAGCGACCAAGCTCTAGTTACGACCACCATTGTGAAATCCCATTTGAATTAATTGTCACTCAAACTCTGCAATTAAAAGCTCTCATGAGCGACCGCTCCCGGCATCCATAAGCGACCGCAACCACTTTTGGGAATTACTAACTGGTCTTTTCCTTTGTTTTGAAGCTCTCGTAAGCGACCACTTGTTGTGCTACACATTGTATTATTTGTAATCATCTGAATAAGAGAAGTTTTCAATCTCTATGGAAGCGTAACCTGTACATTCGCTTTCGTAAGTGGCCAGCCTCTATTGTTACAGCACGTGGTCGCTTACGACAGCCCATTCTCGTAAGCGATGTCCAGCTCTAGTTACGACCACTTTTTCAAATTCCCGAGGTGGTCACTAACAAGAGCTTTGACTGTATAAAAAGATCAACAGCCCTTTCAAGTTATTTTAATTAAATAATTCCTAAATGCTTATAATCTGTTCTGCGGACCATAACCAGTGTTTTATAGTTTTTTTTTTTTAAACTTTAAGTTATTGATATCACGTTTAAAGAAATCAAACATATACAGTGTGTAGTACACTGTAGGGGGGGGGGGGCAGGAACCCAGGAGTATTTAAAGGGGGCGGGAAGTCTATGGGAAGTGCGCGGGAAAAGAGAAGATGGGGAGAGGGACCCCCTAAGGTGGAAGCAACAGGGAGAAATAGTATAAATAATTTTGCAATATTTTGTAATATTTCACAATAGGAAAAGCACAAAGAGGCGGATGACCCTAAGGAAGGAGCGGGAACAGGGAGTATACTGTACGGGAAGCGGGAAGTGCAGATCCCCTTGTCCTCCCCACACTGTAGGGTGAATTTCAATATTGATTATGGGGCTAAAAAGAACTTCATTTACATGATACCTGATCGCCATTGCATAGAGATTTTTCTTGAAAAGAATTTCTAGTTTTGTCTGCGTGTCTTTCTCTTCCAACTGAAAAATCTGAAAATGAAAAATTTGAGACTTAAAATCTACAGTTAGTGTTACCTTGAAAATCAAAGCTTAGTCTGTAATAAAAATAAAAATAATGTGTGAGGCATGCATGGTTAGTGTGTTGGAACAAGAGCAGTAGACATGCCCGCTTCAAGTGCTGGCCAGTGTTGAGTTTAAAATAGGCAAGACACTGTACTCTCACAGTGCCTCTCACCATACATGTAGGTAAGGTAAAGCCACACTCAGAGTTCCGGCATTGTGGACCAGTTGTTGGCGCATCCCCGTTTCTGTAGCATGACTACAGCTGACTAGGAGTATTGCTACTCCCCCTGGATGGGATGCTAGTCCATCGCAGGTTACTCCCCAGGATTTTGTTGCCATATCCATTTATACTACTGGGTGGAGAGAGGCACTGTGAGAGTAAAGTGTCTTGCCCAAGAACACAACACAATGACCCTGGCCAGGGCTCAGAACCCGGACCACTCAATCCAGAGTGCAATGCGCAAACCATTAGGCCACCGCATCTCCCTCTCTAGATATAGGGCTATAAATAGGACGGTACTGGCAAATTGTTGGACAAAATGTCGGAGGGGGGTAACCTAGCACTATTCCTACTTGCTTCATGCTACTGAAACCGCAAGTACAGTCCTTACCTTAAAATAAAAAATAATGTACTCTCAGAATCTGCTATAATACACGTAGCATCCATTACAAGGGTCAAGTAACAACAACAACCACCAGGGTTCCAGATAAGTTTTAAAGGCAAGGAGGAATTGCAATGGGTCAATAGATCATATGGGCCTCGCCAAATCATGTGAAGTTCTCCATTAATGTCAGGTCAGGCAGCCAACCTTATCAGGGCTTTGACCTGAGAACCCTCGACCCTTAACTGGAACACTCAACAACAACGGTAAACCACCTTAAAGTTTATTTGTACTCAAGATATTATTACAGAATGAAAGAAAAAAATAAATGGATATTACAAAGAGGGCGACATTGGGGTTTGCAGCATTGCAAGTCTGAGCCATTTTTCTTACAGTTTTACGGTATTTTTGATCGAAAACTGAGGTATTGCGGTTTCATCCAGTATGACGGTACATGGTTTTTCTAGCATTTTGAGCAGCGGTGTTCGGTAAAAAACCTAATTTTGTACAGTATTTTGGTGAGGGAAGTTTCCTTACAACGTTAGTAAGAGAGGGATTTTTCTCGAGTTTCAGTGCGGTTTTCGGTATTTGAGGCTTAAATATTGTGGTTAAATTACGGTTTTGGAGCCCCCCAATGTCCCCCTTAGTAAAGTCTGTTCCATCCAATTCAGAGGTAGAAATGTCACAAGAAAGAAGATGACAAAAAAAACCGTAATAAGAACTAATTAAATCACCTTATTTTCCATTGTGATTACAAATAAGCTGCCCCATTCACATATGACATCAATTACACCCTGGAAAGTCCCTGTAAAGGCTACAAAAAAAATCATGGATTTTTACATGCGCTATATAAGTCAACAAATTATTATACTATTACTTGTATGGCATCTCGTTCATTTTAAAAGGCTTGACATAAAAAGATTATGTACACTACCATACATGTACTACATCTTTCATTCCTTGTGGCTTTGATAAGTATGTGTTCATTCTCTGCGTCAATTCGCACTATTTTTCCTTGGTTTAATCCATACTGTAAGTCAAGCAATGTCATGTCTTTAAGGAAATTTTAGTGCAAAGTTTCATCTCATAATTTAAGTTACAAATTTGATTTGGATTCAGTGTAAAACACCGGATTGATCTTGGTGCACTCAACACTTCTTGGAAGAGTCGACTTTGCCTAAATTTCATGGGACACTAGTCTGTGACCGGCATGTCCACTTCAAAAATGAAATCCAAATTTGCTGTGTCTGTGCTGTGTCTTCTATCGGGACCGGATCATCAGGCGCACTGGATACGCTTCTCAAAGAGTCACTATAATAATTATTGCCTTTAAATGTCATGGGACACTATATTGAGCTCAGATCTTAAGCCCAAGACAGGACAGAATTGAGGAAGCTTATTAAGCTAGTGGTTGCCTTTACACAACAACCAAACAACAGCAGGGTTGGCGCAGTGGTGAGAGCACTCGCCTCCCACCAATGTGGCCCGGGTTCGAATCCCGGACCTGGCATCATACATGGGTTGAGTTTGACATTGTTGGTTCTCATCCTTGCTCTGAGGATTTTTTTCTGGGTACTTCGGTTTTCCTCCCTCCACAAAAACCAATATTTCTAAATTCCACTTTGATCTGGAAACAGTGGAAGAGAAGAGCCACTCTGTGGATATCCACTGAAATTCCCATTGATATACATATTTTATTTAACAAAGACAATATTAAACTCTTACCAATAAACTTGTTTTGAATATCATAAACTGTAACAACATTGACATTCCTGGGTTGAGAGCTTCCCCTGCAATTATTAAAATGTGAGAACATTTACAAAATGAGAAAGATGTGTATCAGTCAGTGACACAAGCTGCTCTGTGGGGAAGGCAACGGATTTCATGTTAGCCTCAAGGAACATGCACATGGGACAGGCTGTTTGAGACGTTTTGAGTGTCAGTGGGTTAAAATATTATTAGAAAATCATCAATTTAGAGGATAATTTTGACATTGTCTTGAAGCATCGCCAAATTCTTAGAACTAATATTAACCCTTTCACTCCCAGAGTCAAACCTTGAGTCAATAAATGTGGTTCTACTTTTAAGTCTGTGGATGCAACCCTAGTGTGCGACCATTCAAATGAAAGCTATTGAGCAGTACTTTCATGTGGTACTGTTTATTATGCTGTACAAGGTGGTTCTAACTTTTAAGTCTGTGGATGAAACCCTAGTGTGTGACCATTCAATTGAAAGCTATTGAGCAGTACTTTCATGTGGTACTGTTTGTTTTTGACAATTTTGCAAAAATAAATTCAATATTTTTTCCTCAGTTCTTGGGAGTGAAAGGGTTAAAGAAATGTGTTGGAATATTATAAAGTAAGGAGAAATCTTACCCCACTGATGGCCTCTGGATCTGTTTGTTGTCCTGACTGACGACGACAAGATAACCACGCCACCATGTCACCATCTGCTTTTCGCCTATGAAAACAGCAAAAAAAAAAATTGTTATAAATCAAATTTATTTTAAAATTTATAAAATGTAACTTGCAGATACTTGAAGCAAGATTACCAAAAATGTACCAGATAACCAGAAGTGTATATAGACCTTTAATGTTATTCATAAATGGTGGTCAATTAATTATTCTTTTATATTTATGCTTAGAAGTAAATTATTTTGTAGTTTAACCCAATAAAGTTGTTAAAAATAAAAAATAAAAAAAATAATTACGGCTTAGATGAAAATTACATTTTGTAATTCTGGTTTACCCTGCTTAAATAAATAGAGGATATTACAAGGCGGCGCGAAGATATGAAATTTATTTTCGAGTGGTAAAAACAATATTTTACGAATGAGCGCAGCGAGTGAGTAAAATATTGTTTTTAACACGTGTAATTTTATTTTTATTATATAGACAAAAGACAAAAGCACAAACTCTATCGCGAACTCTTGCAGCTCGGTGGCTGGACTTTCCGAATTTCTCTCCTTTCGTCTTTACTTGCAAGGAACTCCTTGAATAATTTTAAGTCATATGAAGGTTTCTTCTTCGCGTTAGCATTTCCCCACTCCTCAGTGAACGATTTCATGTCGGCTTCAGTGAATTTCACGAATCTATCGCTCGCCATTTTTCAACCGGAGTTTGGCAGCTTTGCACAAAAAGCCATGCAAAAGCGGGAAATGATGTCATCGATATCCTCACTAGTGAGGATATGGAAAATACGCCACTCGGGTCCCGGATGTAGTTTCGTATATGAATTTTACGAGTGGTCGATTTTCCAGTAAAACACTCGTGTCTATCTAATAAGTGATTTATCTTATGATTTATCTTAATCAACCTACCTAGCCTCATTTTAGAGTAAACATTTATTTTGAATTTTGCACATGCTAACATGGCTAGGTACACTGTAGGCTGATTAGCATGAATATAAAAGAATAATTAATCGGCAGCCATTTATGAATAAGGTTTAGCTATAGAGCAAGTTTTGATGTGAATTCCAAGAGTTATTTCAAAAGAAAATATCTTCACAATTATTTGATCGAGATGTTTGTGAAATTCTCTTTGAGGTTGTCTTTTTAGTTTCAAGATGAGAATGTCTGACATTCCCTTCTAAAAATTGCAGAGGTAGATGGGTTAAATACCCCCCCCCCCCCCCTTTCCCTCCCCTAAAAATAAATCAATAACCTGAAAATATCTATACTCCCCCTCAACAGAAGGTGTTTTGGTTTGAACCCCCCACCCTTCTCCCCCTCAGAATGTCCCATGACCTTCCTTGGAGTAGGTATGGATATTTTCTGGAGTGCACATGCGCTGAACCATGAAACACTCCCTTTAACATCATGATAACCAATGTTGGATTAAAAAGATACTGAACTATCTAACAGCTCTACGAAAATTAAGATATCCAGGATGCACATAATTATTTATACCTTCAAATGCTAGACATGGGCCTCTCCCATCAATCTGGTAGAAGTATAATGCCTAAAATACAGATAAAAGAACAAATCAAGAACTGGGCTACCAGTACATCAGTCGACGTCGGGGGAACAAGTGTTGGTCTCAATGGCAAATCTTCATGGAAGCACTCGAAGAGTTTAAGAATCTTTTTATCCAATCAGAAACTAGCGCGAGCACTCACAAGTACTCTGAAAGCAATCGCGCCAGCAAATACACATATGTCATGTTGCTTAGCAACTTTGGGGACGAACACTGCATGCTCAGTCCCACCTTGGAGGCGGGATTTCATCATCAACTGGTACTTGTTCCCCCGACTAACATGTATGTAAACATGTACATACAGTTTCATGAAGTTAGCGGTGCTTTTATACAATTGATAATAAGAAATAATTCTGGAAATTATGCATGATCAGTTTGAAAGCAAAGCAATGGAAATATCTGCTACTAGACATGTACATGTTGTATTGTGGTTTAAATTAATTTTCGTTTTTGGTTTAAATTTTTTCAAACCAGTTTAATTTTTATTTTCCTTTGCCTCATATTCTTTATATCATAACCTGAAACAAAGGAAATTTAAAATAAACCAAAGAAAAATTTAGTGAAGAGCGCCCTACCGTTGCCACTGAACAAAGTTTTTGATTAATTTTTGACATCTTTTTGTAAACTTTCTGATGGCTTCCATTTAAACTAGCATATCAAATTGCAAGAATTGTAGGAGGCAGAGATGTCAATTGTCAGAATACGAAAGTGGAGCTTGACAACTCCACCTCTCATAGTTCTTGCATTTTGATTGGCCAGTTGAAACGAAAGCCGTCAGAAAGGTTAAAAAAGATGTCAAAAAGTTGTCAAAAATTAATCAAAAACATTAATTGAGTGGCAACGGCACTCTTCACTGTAAACCTCAATATACAATCATACTAGATACAAGGCTGACCTCTTTGCGAGCCACAATAAATTGGTTTTCTTGTGAAGCGTCACTCATAACAGAGCATCGAAGTTCACAGCCATGAGCATCTAACACTTCCTGATAAGCAGATTAAAAGGAAAAACTTATCAATATTATAATTATTATAAAATATTATTATTTCACTCTTCAAACCAAAGATTTGAGGTTAAAGGGAGAATGCACATGTGCATGTTATGAAGTAAGCCCATTATATTCCATTACGAACAACCAATCGGAAGCATGTACTAGTCAGATAACTTGGGCAGGGAAATTATCTGTGAATTGTGGTCATCAGTCACATGCAAATTTCTTACCCGGGTTCTCGCTTCCGATTGGTTCATAAACACTGAAATTAAATGGGCTTACTATATAGCATGCACATGCACCGAACAGTGAAACACTCCATTTAATGTCAGTCACCAATAATTAGTTTTGATACTCACTCGGCGATCTTTGGCTGAAGTGTTGTACGACAGAACTGTTTCAGTTGTCACAACAAACAGAACAACGCTGTCACTGGTCTGCTTAAAAGCAAGTCCTACAAGATACAGATTAGCACATAATGTTTGATTGTACACTGTAGCCAAGTGATTATATTAAATTCATATTAAAATATAGACTGAAAGCTGTGCGCGCTCTGATTGGTTAAAAAGCCATGTTTTATCAGAGTATAAAACATATCTAAAAGCCACGTTTTATCATTTTGTGCACATTAAATCTATATTTTAAAGCACATACAGAAGCCAAAGCCATGTATTATAATACTGTCATAAAACACTCTGGTTATTTGAGAACACTAATGAGAAATATACATTGTAGAACTCTTGTGTTCTCAAATTCCCGTTGTGTTTTATGACAGGATAAACACCTGACTTTGGGTTCTTTATTTGTTAAACTTAAAATCCCTAACTTGTGGGTGGGGGGGGGGGGGGGGGTGTAGGAGGATGGGAACCTGAGAGTAAAGGGGCAGGCAGGAAGTCTACAGGAGGTGGGAAAAGAGAGAGCAGGAAGCAGGATTCCCAAGGTGGCGGAAACCAGGAGAAATAGGAAAAAATTTGCAACATATGTTGTATATTTTGCAACAGGAAAAGCAAAAAGGCAGAAGCCAATATAAAGACCCCCCCTGCCCCCCACTAGCTTTCCTTAATTAATTAGTAATAATAATAATTACTTATCAGCCAAACCGAATAGTATACCTGTCACAGGATGTTTGTCATGATGCACAATTCTCTGCTTTGTGTGCCTATAATTAAACAACAGAACCAGATCATTTTTTGGAACAATGGTAATTACATGTACATGTAATATTTGACAAAATTTGGAAACTAACTACTAACAGTAATGTTATCACATGGCTACTAAGGGAAAATAACCATTTCAAGGTAATAAATCAATGCTTCAAAACTACATATTCAAACATAATCATGGCTATTCTGATCGATTATGAGAAGTTAAGAAAAGTTATCTACAGTTAGAAGTAAGTAACTGTATTCAGGACAAATAAAAAAATCTGAGTCCCAAACGGGACTCAAACCCATGACCTTCCATACACCGGTCGGATGCTCTAACCACTGAGCTACGGAGAGACTCATGAGGTGAGCCGAGCGGTCATATACTAGGTTCATATGTGACATACGTTAGAAGTATCGTTCTCACCTGTCTCTTGTAATGTCACCTTTGTACACAAGAACACTTCCATCAGCAAAACCAACAGCCATCTGTGTCAGGTTCTCCATCAGTGCCAGGCAGGACACCTACATGTATCAGTCACAATAATACTTGTGTGAGGCAGCTAGGGCAGTCTAATAGTTAGCGTGCTAGACTTCGGATCGAGCGGTCCAGGTTCAAGCCCTGGCCTGGGTCACTGTGTTGTGTTCTGCAATTGGGCAAGACACTTAACTCGGTGGAGAGAGGCACTGTGAGAGTAAAAGTTTCTTGCCCTAGAACACAACAAAACCAGCTGGCTAGGGCTTGAACCCTGCATGCTCAATCCTAAGTCCAACACAAGGCCATTGCATCTCTCATAAAAATCCCTGCAATACACTCCAAAAAGACTTAAATTATAAGATACTTGCACTGAGACTACCGATAATAAACAATTACTGGACGAGGTCGAGCATGAATAGTGGAAATTATCAAGACCGAGGTTTGTGTTAGCTGCTGCAGCTGAAGGCCGAAGCGGATAACACAAACTGAGGCCTTGATAATTACCCTATCATGCGAAAACTGAATCCATTATTACTTGTTTTAATATACATGTAAAACAACTAAATCAACATTTTGGGCTTAACTTTGCAGTGTTTTGCAGCTTTTTCCTTCGCAAATTGTGGAATATTTTAATTTATTTTCCGCTGTCGCTAATGAAGCGAACGATGCATAGTACAGTACACATGCATGACATCAATCAACATGCATTGTCTGTAGGTACAACGTATAATTACATGCATAAATCCTAGTATCTGTAGATATAACATCACAATTCGATGCCAGTGTGAATTAGCTGTGTGCTCTCAGCCAATGAGAATAGAGATAGTGAGAATGATATTTTTTCTTTGTACATAGTTTGACGATACAGGGCTTATTTAATTATTATTAATTAAGGGTTAAAACATCAACTATCCAACATACCGGAACTGGTTTGTTTCCTGGAATCAGACGTTGCATGCAGCAGCAAATGGGGTTTCCATATTTGTCAATCTACAATGTAAAGGAAAGCATACTGTTGGAAATTTTATTACTAACACAGGGCTGCAAATATATATTTGTTCTTGAAAGAACATGTGAAAGAACACATGTCCAACTTAGTCACCATTTTGGTCGGACAAACAATCAAAGGCACTATGTGCCAACTCGTAAATGGAAAAGTAAATAAATTAATTAACATAGAAATATGCAGTAGTACCGGGTAAATGTAGAAACCGGGTAAATGTAAGTTGACAGTCTCGTCCTCAATGTTTTTGAGAATCGAGTTTCGAGTTTTGAGTCTGACTCGAATAGGGATTTCGAGGAAACGATTTATTTCTCGAAACAGAACAATAGATTCCGCGCGGCATTCACGCAAGCCGGTGTATTTCGTATTCACTCCAAATCAGTGTTGGTCGGGAGGGAAACTCAAACGAAAAGTCTTTAATCACTGATATTCGATAATCGCCAACTTTATGGGCCGAATATTTTTAAAAACAAGGTTTACACAGGGTTTAACAAAACCATGGCCAAATACGATTTCAAACTGACTGGCCAACCTAACTATATTAACCGTACAGTAAACCCCGTTTATAATTAGAAGGTGTATATAAACACAGACTAAAAAAACATTTAGCGACTTTAATAGACTGACCTACTTATAAGTTTATTTAGACCTCATTGACTAACTTTTTAGACGTCGTTTAAATATTCGGCCAATATGTTCGAACTGGTTTGAGTTTTATTTTAAAGCAAGTTGCTGTTTGTGAAATAAAATATTTCAATCATTTCAAAACATTCTGATCTTGTTTGTGTAGTCTGTGCTTCGCACGCACAATATAAAATTAATTTTATATGTAAACATTCATTCGTCTTCAGTTCTGTCATACACGAAACTCTTGGACAGAAAATACTACAGTTATCTATGAAGTTGCAATTATTGGACTAAAATTAGCTACAGTTAAATTATCAAAAATGGGTTTGCTCTCCTACTAAAAAAAACATATTGAGATACTATGAAAATAAAAGGTAAATCTTATTATTTTGTCCTCCGTCACGCAACGCTTCCTCGTTCCGATAATAATATTTTAAAATTATTTCAACCATTGCGTATGATAACATCGTCCATCGCGCTGACTAATAAGAGTCCATTCGAGTCCATTCGCCGACGTCAAGGAAATATGGAGATTGAGCAAAAAACACTGTCGAGCGTCTAAATAGATCCATGAATAGAAAGATGAACATAGCCACTGAAGCCAGTCATTTGGTGAGTAAATCAAGCCACTTCCAGCTCAAGACAACAGTGTCCTCGGTGTCTCGGTGAATCTCATTTGAGCCCGCGATAGTCGTCCATTCAATCAGCGGAGCAAAAGCACAGGGCTCCTGTGTCCCCCGTGTGTGTCCCCCGTGAGTCAAAAAAGAAATCTTGCATCATCTTTTAGGTATCGAAGGTCGCGAGATCGAATCCCGGCGGAGAAAACGTTTTTTTTTTTTTTTTTCCCCGCAAGTATGAGAAACACAGGTACTAATATCAGTTCGCTTTAAATATATACGCTGGAAAAAAAGCATTGAAGGGTTTTTATAGTTCAGACGCAAACAAAAGAAAATATCATATAATTCCCATATAGTGGTACCAAAGAAAATATAGAATGGTTCAGATAAATTACATTTTATTCATACACTTGGTATAAAGAAGCTATGATACAACATTTAACATACTTAAGTGTTTTCCTAAGTCTTGAAGTCCGCAGCTTGGTTTTTAAAAGTTTCGACAGCTTGAGCCTTGATCAGAGCTTGAATCGATCGAAGAACTTCAAACGTGACTCACTTTTAATATTCTAAATGTCTCCTCGTTGGGCGGTCGAGTATTATTTAGGGTTATTTCTTTCAATTTCGAACTCCAAAAAGGTGTCTAATTGTAATTGTAGGAGTGAAAATCACCCGTGTTGAAAAATAGAAGAGGCCGCGCCAGACGCCATTTTGTTTACTGATAATGCATAAATTACCGTACTACGCATACATTAAAGTTTACAACTTGTGGCCATCGACCGAGGGATCGAGGGATCGAGCGAGTGAAATTTGTCCGCTATACGCTATAACTTCGTTCATGCAAAGCATTCACTCGTTAAAAATGAGGTCGGACATCAATTACAGTACTGCTTGATAAGCGAACTTGCTAATTTAACGCATTGTCATCGCAGAGTAAACTACATGTAGTTTGCATTTAGAATAAAATGCGTTAGCGTTTGAAGGCCAAAAAAATTGTCCGTACATTTTGTCCGACCACAGTTGGGATTTCATCAGAGATTGGCAAATTTTGGTCGGCCATTGTCCGATGACCGACTGTTATTTGCAGCCCTGCTAACAGCATAAGGCAGCGTGAAAAAGCTATCATTGAAAGTCAATCAATGTTGGACAAACATTACAAGGCTAGAATTCTACTGTACATAGTAAAATAAATCGACTTTGTTTAATGAGGGTATCACTTAACAGTCTTTCGACTGACAAACCTGTGGCCCTCGGATCCCAGTTCAAATTGGAATTTAGAAGTGTTGGTTTTTGAGGAATGAGGAAAACCGGAGTATGCAGCGAAAAACCCTCGGAGCAAGAACGAGAACCAACAACAAACTCAACCCACATGACACCACGTCTGGGATTCGAACCCGGGTCACATACATGTACCAGTGGGAGGCGAGCGCTCACACCACTGTCCCATCCCTGCTCACCTTATCTAGATTCCATACTCTCATGATAGGATCAATGCCATCAACTTCATCTTCCTGGGAGAAAAAAGAGTGATGAAAGTTCAAAATTTTGAAAACAAAAACATTTTGTTCAGTTCTACTGAAACTCAAACAGCATGGAAGTGCTCAATAGCTTTCATTTGAATGGTCACACACTAGGGTTTCATCCACAGACTTAAAAGTTAGAACCACCTTGTACAGCATAATAAACAGTACCACATGAAAGTACTGCTCAATAGCTTCCAGTTGAATGGTCACACACTAGGGTTTCATCCACAGACTTAAAAGTTAGAACCACCTTGTACAGCATAATAAACAGTACCACATGAAAGTACTGCTCAATAGCTTTCATTTGAATGGTCACACACTAGGGTTTCATCCACGTCTGTAGATGAAACCCTAGTGTGTGACCATTCAAATGAAAGCTATTGAGCAGTACTTTCAAGTGGTGCTGTTTGTTTTTTACCATTTCCTCAGTTTTGAACTTAACACTATTGGGAGTGAAAGGTTAAGAAGGAATGACAAGCTAGAAATAAATGCAGTACTTACTCCAACTGTGAACAAAATATTTTGCTGTTTCAGTTGATAGAAATGCGTCACACGCATTTCATAGGCCTGGAAGGATGTAATGGTCAAATCACGACCCAAGAAGTGAACAAATCCAGCTGAATCTGTCAAATTAAAATGTTATCAAAAATTTAATCATTATTACCTTATTCTCACTTATTTTCGCGAGTATTAATTTACGCGATTTTCACGATGTAGCAAAAAAAACGCGAAAATAAAGACGATTTTTTTCACAAAATTTTAAAGCCTTTGAGCTCTTTTTACTCTGAAATCACGAAAATAAAACCTCACGAAATACGGCTCTATTGATTTCTCAAAATTAAGTACGCGTGAAAATTAGTGAGAATAAGGTAACTGCTTGCAAGGATATACATATTATATGTACAGTTGAACCCCGCTAATTCGAACTCGGTTAATTCGAATTCCCCGCTATTTCGAACTCAAACCCATTTCCCTTGAATTTGCCCTTGTTTTTTTCAGTCATTTACTATCGGCTAATTCGAACTCGGTTAATTTGAATTCCCCGTTATTTCGAACAAATTGTGTTTCCCTTGGCGTTAAATCAACCCCATTAATTCGAACTCTAATTACAAAATCATTTCCGCCTGCTGATCAAACATCAGACGGTGCCAGAACACAGCTTAATTAATTTTTTTATAACATTTTAATTGCACTTTTTTGTAATGTGTCTCCATTCCGCACAGTTCCGGTTGTTAATGAATATTAAACAGGACATTTTCAAACACAAACGGTTCCAAGATAGACTTGCATGTTGCTGTTTTTAGAAATGACACCACTTTGTGATTCTCAGAATGAAATAAAAACTATATAAGGTACAAGTCATTCTATTGTGTTAATTTGTAATTATTAT